TCTCTTTTCCAGTAAGGGGGGATATGACAGAGGTCTATAAAATCATGACTGGTGTGGAGAAAGTAAATAAGGAAGTGTTATTTACTCCTTCTCATAACACAAGAACTAGAGGTGACCAAATGAAATTAATAGGCATCAGATTTCAAACAAACAAAAGGAAGTATTTCTTCACACAACACACAGTCAACCTGTGGAACTCTTTGCCAGAGGATGTTGTGAAGGTCCAGAGTTCAAAAAAGAACTAGATAAATTAATGGAGGGTAGGTCCATCAGTGGCTATTAGCCAGGATGGGCAGGGATGGTGTCCCTAGCCTCTGTTTGCCAGAAGCTGGGGATGGGTGACAGGAAATGGATCACTTGATGATTACCTATTCTGTTCATTCCCTCTGGGCACCTGGCATTGGCCCCATCAGAAAACAGGATACTGGGCTAGGTGGACCTTTGGTCTGACCCAGTATGGCCGTTCTTATGTTACCCAGGTTGAAGTTGACAGTGCATCTAAGTAGTTAAGAGTAAAAATTGGTATAAGAACCTTGCAGATTTTTTTAAATGAAGCCACAATTCATATATGAAGTAAAATTGAAACAAAGCAAGGGCTATAACTAAGAATCCAGAACTGAGTTACGGTGTCCAGGCTACCTTGATATCTGTCCCTTGGCCACACTCATCTCCCACCTCCCCATCTGCTTGTAAACTGTGCTGTTTTGGGGTGAAGAACTTTTTCTAGTTTACATCCACAGCCTATGGATTAATTTTTATCTACTGTAATTGTACAACTTGGTGGTATGGTGGTAGGAGCTATAAAAATATCAAGATGGATGGAGTATAAAATGTTCACCTCATAGGGCTGATTTATAATCAGCTTCATGTTTTCATTGTGGAGACACTGGCTTTGTGTCTAATGACATGTGGCTCATCAGTTAGCACCAGTCATAGAGCCCAATCCTGAGACATGCTGAATAACCTCAACACTTTCAGGGTCCAATCCTATGATGAGAAGTGGGGATGTCCACAAATTCCTGAAAAACAGAGTGGAAGCCAAGTAGCTTTCTTCTGTGCAATAGCCGTGAAAAGGCAAGAGTTGGCACAACTGATCTGTGACTAACAGTAAAGTATGTACACTTGTTATTCTTAGTAACATTAAACTGTTTTGTGGATTGGTAAGAGTCTGAATTCTAAATGTATTCAAGGTATTGCTGTGAGGGCAGTTTCATCTTAACTTGGAAACTAACTGGTGGTTTCTTGTTTATTTTCTGAAGACTCCCTTTAAAAGGTTTACATGCTCAAGCTACTGATATGGTAAAGCTTGTTGATTATGCTAATTCCAGACAGTTTCTCCTTTAACCCATAGTACTGCACTGGAGAAAAAGGCCTTGGGGGGGCAGGGGTGTTCTCTGTCACCCTAAAGATTTCTTGACGTGTGAAAGGGAGCCACCTCTGGACACTTGATGTCCCCTGGAGGAGCAGTACTTCACCTGGATCAGTACAGCAAACTCACTACTGAGCCTTTCAAGGCCATCCCATTCCCACAACTTTTAATGGTTAAGAGACTTCCGAGTCCCTCTAACCATCCTATGGCACTGCAAGTCCTATGAAGTTTGTGGTCCTCTGCAAGCCTTAAAAGCTACCTTTGCATACCTTAGCAGACATATGCAGGATGCCTTGGCTGAACAACCCCTGTAGTTGAGAGGATGAGAGTCTGAGCCCTGAACAAGTCTTCTAAAGCTTGACTAAAAGGACTCAACATCTTCCCAAAGTCTGCCTGTATGTGTGCTTTGAGAGATGCAGTGCCCTCTCTTTTGTCCTCCCCTGTTCCAACTTGTGCTAGAAATTTGCCAATCTGTGGCTTTGTTAATGATTTTTACTTGAGTGTGGTACCAGAAATTAACAGTCTTCCCAATGAGAAATCAACTTAAGATGTTAGACATTAAGTGGGACAACAGATGTTAGCTTTGCAAAACCAAAGCAACTTGGCTCAAGTACAAATTCAGGAGCTTATGACTAACCAATTGTATGTGCATTCTAGTTCAGCACATGTTTTTAAACACTGAGTCCCCAAGGTAGCAAGCTTGTTGGTATGTGAACAATATGATGATAATCTAGGATACTTAAATGAAATACTAAATTCAAAAAAAGGCCTACATTTGCTCTTTCTTCCAACCAATTAGCTCATTCCTAAACTTTGCACAAAGGATTTAAACTCTTGCCCATTTCAATGCCCAACTAACATACATCCTTGTTTAAAATAAAGGTGAAATAGGGAGAGATTAAAAACATTTTGACCACTTAAAACTGTCAGCTAGTGTAGCAACTGCCTGGCTGACTACCAGTAGCCATACTGTTGATTTTTTTTATGCAATTCAGGGAGTTAATTTTCATCTATAACACCCTCTCAGTTTGATTTCTGGAAGGCTGCCTCTGCACTACTGTTTCACTACTGTATATGCAACCACAAGAAGTGAATCAGGTGGGCAATCTTGATATAAATTCCAAGATGCGTGTGTCTGGGGACCAGATGCTGTTTATTGTTGGAGGGCTCATAGCTCTGGATTTGACTTACCTGTCGATGACTTAGACCCTGATCTTCAATTATGTCAGAAGGCTCCTACTAACTGGGGCTTTAACTGGAGAATTGGTGGTAATTATCACTCATAAATGTCACTGAAACCTTAAATAAACTTAATGATAGTAATGAATGGTAGTATATTGGCTTTTAATCTTTACTATGTGTATTGTTGATGAGCAGAGTTTAAAACCGGAACTAACTTGAAATCCAAACTGGGGGTCCTGCTGGATTTTTGACTGCTTGTGTATATCAGAATAATACAAACTAGGGTTAAGTGAGGTCTATGACTTTCACCTCCAGGCTACATTACAGCTGTGCAATCTAAACCTGAAGACATAGATGACTTGGAAACTTAGTGTAGAATGTGGTGAGTAGTTCAGTTATTGTTGCTTCTCTCTAAGAGGGAGTTAAAAGTCTGCACTGGCTTCCAACTTGATATTAGATACAGTTTGAGGGCTTGCTTGAAAATTATAAACATTATATGTCTCTTCAAGGCAGACTCATGTTTTCTATTTCAGCTGGGAAATTGATCATCTGGGATGATTGAGGTGAGTCTCTAGGTCTACTCATCTGAGGGCGGTGAGAAGAATAGTTGGAGGGTCCCCACTTCTGCAATTCTTCCTCCTGGCAAAGTCCATGTTTTTTAACCCTCAGGCCATGCTGCACCCAGGCTTCACTGAAGCTGCTGGTTGGAGAGATGTGTGTTTTCAGGGGATTGTGTTTTCCTTTAGGTGACCCAGTTACTGAAGTTAGCTAACTTGAGTTGATTGACATATTAAATGTATTTTTACGCTTGTCACAAGTACTCCCAGAGAAAAAAAATCACTTGATCGTGATGCAAAACTTAAAATTTCACCAATGGACTCTTAAGGAGACTATCGCCATCATAGTAAAGTCTTGGAAAAAATCTCTCCAGTGTCATCTGAACTGCAGAGGCAATTTTTTCTTCAGTTGCTCCATAATATCCACTCCAGGTTTTACAATGAGCTCTGCCGCATGATGGATCACAGCTTTAAAAATAGTGTGCTTAGTGCCATGTGGGTAATTGGCGATTGTTTGCCTCTCGAATCAATCTCCTGGATCTGTACCTCAATATCTCGAATCAGCAGTTTCATTTAAGGAGCTCCCAGTAACCTGGGATACGACATATAACTGTAACAGAATACCATTCAGTTAGTTCTACATGACTTCACTTTTAAATGTAGTTTTGTCTGCTGGCACAATCAGCAAAAGTAGAAGGTAAGATTGAGCTTCATCTTATGGAGCAGGAGTTGAATAATATTTAATGAAGAATGTAGTTTGAATCTAAATGCCTTGGAATATATGTTTTGTGTGTTCAAAGATAATTTGTTAAATTAAAGGAGTACATTTAACAAATTTGTTGAAGTATGGATCAAAAACATTGTGGGAGAGTGTGTGGCTAAAACAACACAAACACATGGACTTTTAATTTAACTAAAACGTTTGTAGAATCAGAGAAATGTAGGTCTGGAGGGACCTCGAAATCATCTAGTCCAGCCCCCTGTGCTGCAGCAGGACCAAGTAAACCTAGACCATCTCTGACAGGTGTTTGCCCAATCTGTTTTTTAACTTTGGTTTGGTGTGATTTGTTCTTGACAAATCCATGCTGGCTATTCCTTATAACCCTATTATCTTTCAGGTGCTTACAACTTGATTTTTTAATAATTGGTTGCAGTATCTTTCCAGGTGTCAAAGTCAGGCTCACTGATCTATAACTCATCTGGGTCCTCTTTGTTCCCTTTTTAAAAAAGGTACTGTGTTTGCTCTTCTCCGGTCTTCTGGGACCTAACCCATACTCCATGAGTTCTCTAAGATAATTGCTAACGGTTCTGAGATTTCTTCTGCTAGTTCCTTATAAGTGCCCTAGGATGAATTGCATCAGGCCTTGCTGACTGGAATACATCTAACTTATCTACATATACTTTAACCTGCTCTTTCCCTATTTTGGCATGCATTCCTTTCCTCTTGTTGTACTTAAACTTAGGCAAGCACTGTGGAGCCTAATGGTGTTTTTCTTCTCTTTTCTTACCCATTTTGTGGCTATTAATGTTGTTACCTTTTGTGCCGCTTTTGTAGAGTGAAACTGACCCTCTCATTACTCCTTCACCATGCAGATGATCACTATGTTAATGTTCAAAGCTTCTTTTTCTTAAGCTTTTTTTGAAGGCTCTGCCTATGATGTAAGTCTCATTTTTCAAGTGACATTGACAAAAGTGCCTAAATCGCTTTGGAAAATGGTGACTTAATTTTTTTAACAGTTTATTATGTAATATAATTAGTTCTTACCAAAGCCTGACTTTCCAATTTAAAATTGGCATTGTGAATACACATCTAATGACACCTTAACATGAGAATGACTTACAACAGGGCTATTACAAGGTAAAACAATGCTTTATGCTTTGGATTCAAAAGACTTTTGTTAAGTAGAAGTCTAGACCATGGATCTGTGATGGACTACTTTCAAGACTGTAGTTTTCCTCTTGGAAAGGCAATTAATATGTAACTATTCCTGCTGTTAAACATACTGACTTTGTTTGCACTTGCTTATGGTACAAAAACATGGCTGTCAGAGGATTTTCTTTGGCTGTTATTGAGAGAATGAAAAACTGCTGGTACAGCACTAGTGGAATTCTGGGTCTAGGTGCCTGTCCCTTCATGGTTTATGGAGTGTGCTTCTTCTGTCTAAGCAATATAAATCACTATTAAGAGTACTTATGAGCACTTTAGGGCATGACTTTAGTATTAGAAATGTAAAATACTTGATTATATAATATTTCACGAGTCTCCATATAGCAATACTGCATCAGTCTCCTTTCACATACCTCTATTCTTAAGCCTAGAAGGAACAGGATGAATTTCTCATTTCTGCCAAGGCCACTTCCAGGCCCTTTAAAATGCTACAGGGGTGTAAAGTGGGTGTAAATATAATTCACACTGCCAGAATGGAAATGAGAATCTAGGTCATAATGTTGAAGTTGTCTTTGGAAAGAACTTTGTGAAATGCCTTGAAGTATAATGTTTCTCAAACACGTCAGGCATTTTTTAGGGAGGGAAGTAGCTATGACTGAAAAACCAATAGCTGAAGATGAAATATTCAGCATAGATCCTATGAGGTAAACATAAGAGAACATTCAGGCAGGATTTTTAGTCTCTGGGAACAGTGAGCTAGCGAAAACAAAATGGTGATGGCAGAAGAACATTCAGAAGTCTAGGGTGAGTGAGAACAAGGAGGAAGAACCCGTATGTGTGGGAGGGAAGATCAACAAGGCTGCTTGGAGGAGGTTTCTAAAAACCGGCAAGAAACCAAAGTTTTTATGAGTGCAGACCCAATTTAGTTCTATTTCACTTTGATCAGTCTTTCTAGTTAAAAATCAAGCAGTTGGAATAAACTATGGGCATGACCAAAGCCCAAAAGTATGTTGGGGTCTCCTTTCTCCTTACTTGTCACTGTACTGTTAATGGGGAGAGAAAGGGAATACAGGGAGGCTAGGGTGGACATAATGAAGGATAGTTGTGTATGTGTAATAGTAAGCTTAAGTGTCTAAAAGTGCAGCCCCTTTTTTATTGCACCTTACAGAGAGGATGGAAATATGATCTTAATGTGCTGCCGGCTTTCCTCCCTCCCCCCCCCCAGCAGTAATGGATATTAGCTCTTGGATGCAAATTAAAATAACGACAAGATACTACATTAGTGATGAGTGTAGGGAGGAGAGGGTAAAATTGAGAGCTTTTGCTTGGCTAAAGCCTCCACAGTGTATGCTGCTGAGGGGAAAGCTCATAGTTTTCTGAAATTGGACAAAAAAGATAATAAGATGACTGAAATACTTGGAGCTTTTGTTTCCAGCTGGGGCTAGAGGATGAACAGTTCTTCAAAAATAAAAAAAGGCTAAACATATTTGAATCTCAGCAGAAACTAGTGTGGTCCCAGTCTTAGGAGAGTTTGGTTGGGGAGAGGGGGTTCTCTTCACTAGTCTGCCTGCCAATTTTTCATTGAAATAAGAACTGTCTCTGTTGCAAAGGCTCTTCAGGCTCTGACCCATCAACTGTACATCCTGCTCTTTAAAAAAAAGTCCTATTGAAATGATCTCTAACATAGGCAGTGTTTAATCATTGCAACTGACAGTCACGACTGTGCCATGAAGCTTAGAAATGAAAGACTAACAAAAAAGAACCTCAGCTCATTATTGTTTTTTATCAGCTATGATACAGAAAAAAATATATAGTTGGTTTTGTCTATGTTTGCACTGTCTGATATCTCTTTCCACAAGACGACTGCTGGGAGATTTAATTGGATGTCACATTAGTAAGTGTGAGTGTGTGTGTGTGTGTGTGTGTGTGTGTGTGTTTGCCCATGGTGGAATGAGTTCCATGCTTGTAGTTAAATGATATGACATGCCTGCTGTTGAGCTCTCAAGAGCATCTTCTATGTGTCTGTAAATATTTTACTTGGGCTTCAAAAGTAAAGGCTAACACTTTTCTCCATAGTTCCTATACATGTGTACTACTTTAGCAAATGTTGGAACAGCATCCAATTTTTTCTAACCAGAGTGGCTGGGATTATTGAAATCTACAACAACTCCCACACTTTAAATTGAAAAACATTTATTCAGCACCATTGACACATGTGGCAGTTGAGAAGCAAGACAAGATCTCTCTCCTGGAGAATTCATAATGAAAATTGGACGGAGGAAACACCATAGGGAGTGAAGGACAATGGAAAACAGAGAGCAACTCTCAGTAGAAAAATAAGATTTATGGGTCATATGCTGTAATTGATCTGCTATTTTTATTTGCCCTTTTAAAATTGAAACAGGTGAAACACAGAAGTAGACCTTAGCCTAAAGATGGAAGACAAGCGAACTTAAGTGTTGGAGAAGGGAAATAGTGTCCAGGAGGTGGGAAATTGGTTCAAATAACAATATTAAGAAGCAACAGCTGGAAAAGTGTGGCAAGGAGCTGCACATTTTCTGATGGGAGGCTTGAATTTTCCAGAGCAACTTTTAAAAATTAACCTGCTAAGACAGAAAACTTGTTTACTATAGTTAAGATAAATTGACTGCTTATATAAAACTTTAACTGTAAAATATCAAGAGAAACTGAGGATTAGGCGGAGCAAAGGGTAAAAGTCTGAAAACTCAGACATCTTGAACGTTGTACCCCAAAAGATCTAAAGACCAGACAGACTGTATATACCTGGTAGAAGTTAAAATCATGCTTAACTGAACTCTCCCCATATCCTCTATTTAACTTTATATGGTTGGTAGAGGAGAGTTGTCAGTTGCCCCATATAAGAAACTCAACTTTTGTCACTTCATGTATGAATGCCCGTGGTGCCACATCTTTATCTTAAACACTAGTTGCTCCCCTGTTGTCAGGTCTGTGTTGGATATAATGGAATCTCAGGCCTATCCTTTGAAGACATGTAGGATATTGGGGCTTTAGAGCCCATTTCTTCCAGATAGACCCATATGAGACTACGTAAAATCCCTAGGCAAATACCTACTTTGGAGGAAAAAAAACAAAATTCCTAATGGTTGATTGCATGATATAACAGTCTGTCCTAGCGGTGCTTACAATATTGACTGTTGAAAACTCTTAGGTTCCAAGCTGATATTTTTAGTTGTGTTTATGCAGCAAATGTTAAAAGGTATAAGAAACTGAAATCTTAACTACCAATGTTCTTGCCTTTTTGAAGTATTCAAACCATGAGAGAAAAAAGAAGTGGTTCTGGAATGTTCAATCTCATGTTTTCACTTGAAGTATAAAACAAAACCAACTACTTCAAGCCAGACGTGTGCACAAAATACTTCACACAATGCAAAACTGGTGACATTTGTCCAGGGCCGGCTCTGGCTTTCTGGCCGCCCCAAGCAAAACAAAAAAAACAAAACAAAAAAACCGCGGCGGCCAGAACAGCAAAAGCAAAAAAAAAAACCCTGCGGCGCAGCCAGAGCCAGGGTGCAGGGGGACTCCTTGCGCTGCAGATGTGCCCCGGCTAGCGGGGGGAGAGAGAGAAGGAGGGCAGCCAGGGCTTCAGCGGGGCACTGCCACGCGGCCCCTCCTGCCGTGCCCCCTGCCGGGAGGGCTCGTCACCTCTCTGGTCGTCGGGGAGGGAAGGACGTGGGCTGCCCTGCCGGGCTTGCTGCAGGGCGCTCCCGTCCTCCATGCCGCTGCCCCCTACAGGGCGGCCGGAGTGGAACAAACAAACAAACAAACAA